TTACGGCGTTCCGCTTTACGGCGTTCCGCTAATACGGACATTTCAAATTATGACCAAAACTCACTATACGGCTCCCCCCACCTGACTTTCTAATACGGTCACCGTGCCCCACCCTGTTTGTTTACATTCTCCATGAGCTCAGTAAGCACTAAGTCTCTCCATTTTGTCTGGAAACTCCAAAATTTCAAATGTTTTTAAAAGTTATTTCATATTTTATATATACTCTGATAATTATACTTATGTATACCTGTACCTAAATAAACTTACATACATCAAGTCATTTAAATGTCGTATATTACGTTAATATACACATTTTCATTAATCCATCCATGATATTTTTTTCAAAATTAATAATAAACACGATGCATAACATATAAATAAGATAAATACACCCCACAGTAGAATAAATAAACATAAATGTGAGCTGTGTAGCAGACGACCTTCCACAAGTGGTGATAATAACAATACTGAGTTCATTAAATGTCGTATATTACGGTAATATACACATTTTCATTAATCCAGCCATGATATTTTTTTCAAAATTATAAAATAAACACTATACATAACATATAAATAAGATAAATACACCCCACAGTAGAATAAATAAACATAAATGTGATCTCTGGTAGCAGACGACTTCCACAAGTGACGCCATAATAACAATAGTCACGGAGTCTCATTAAATGTCGTATATTACGGTAATATACACATTTTCATTAATCCAGCCATGATATTTTTTTCAAAATTATATAATAAACACGATACATAACATAAAAAGATGATAAATACACCCCACAATAGAATAAATAAACATAAATATAAGATGTGGGAGCCTGGTTTGTTTACTCTGTGCCTGGCCTGTCACCTCTCATGTATTCATTCTTTCTCTCTCTCATTTATTCGTTTTATCTCATTTACTTACTCCTGACCCTACATTAAGACTACAAATATTTTAAGGTAAGTAATGAGTGAACTGTATATACATTTTATCGCTCTGGGATGCTTAAATATCATAGAATAGTATGTGTGGGTGGGGTGGCCTGGTGAGGCTATTACAATACATACCACACTTGATTTCTTACAATAAATACTACTTGTCTCACCCTAGATTAAGACTATAAATATTTTAAGGTAAGTAATGAGTGCACTATGTGTGTATTGTACCTTTTTATTGTTTTTTGATGCCTGGTTCTATTGCTAACTTAATATATGTTAGTGTAAACTTGTTATCTAGTGTTTGTATGCATTTATAAGTGGAAAAAAAGGGTGTTCCACTTTACGGCGATTTCCGCTTTACGGCGCTAGCCTGGAACCTAACCCGCCGTATAAGTGGGGCCTTCCTGTCTGTCTCATAAATATGCAAGATTACAGGCATGTCTTGCTACTTCTACTTACACTTAGGTCACACTACACATACATGTACACATTTATTTATACACACTCATCTGAGTTTTCTTTGATTTTATCTTAATAGTTCTTGGTCTTATTAATTTTCCTTTTATATCCATGGGGAAGTGGAATAAGAATCTTTCCTCCGTAAGCCATGCGTGTTGTAAAAGTCAACTAAAATGCCGGGAACAATGGGCTAGTAACCCCTTTTCCTGTAAAGATTACTAAAAAGAATAAGAAGAAGAAAATTGTCAAAGTGGGAAGTCTGAATGTGCGTGGATGTTGTGCAGATGATAAGAAAGAGATGATTGTGGATGTTATGAATGAGAAGAAGCTGGATGTCCTGGCTTTAAGTGAAACAAAGCTGAAGGGGGTAGGAGAGTTTCAGTGGAGAGGAATAAATGGGATTAGGTCAGGGGTTTCAAATAGAGTTAGAGCTAAAGAAGGAGTAGCAATAATGTTGAAGGATAAGCTATGGCAGGAAAAGAGGGACTATAAATGTATTAATTCAAGGATTATGTGGAGTAAAATAAAGATTGGATGTGAAAAGTGGGTTATAATAAGCGTGTATGCACCTGGAGAAGAGAGAAGTGTAGAGGAGAGAGAGAGATTTTGGGAAATGTTGAGTGAATGCGTGGGGAGTTTTGAATCAAGTGTGAGAGTAATGGTGGTTGGGGATTTTAATGCTAAAGTGGGTAAAAATGTTATGGAGGGAGTAGTAGGTAAATTTGGGGTGCCAGGGGTAAATGTAAATGGGGAGCCTTTAATTGAGCTATGTGTAGAAAGAAATTTGGTAATAAGTAATACATATTTTATGAAAAAGAGGATAAATAAATATACAAGGTATGATTGTAGCACGTAATGAAAGTAGTTTATTAGATTATGTATTGGTGGATAAAAGGTTGATGGGTAGGCTCCAGGATGTACATGTTTATAGAGGGGCAACTGATATATCGGATCATTATTTAGTTGTAGCTACAGTTAGAGTAAGAGGTAGATGGGAAAAGAGGAAGGTGGCAACAACAAGTAAGAGGGAGGTGAAAGTGTAATAAACTAAGGGAGGAGGAAGTTCGGGTGAGATATAAGCGACTATTGGCAGAAAGGTGGGCTAGTGCAAAGATGAGTAGTGGGGGGGTTGAAGAGGGTTGGAATAGTTTTAAAAATGCAGTATTAGAATGTGGGGCTGAAGTTTGTGGTTATAGGAGGGTGGGGGCAGGAGGAAAGAGGAGTGATTGGTGGAATGATGAAGTAAAGGGTGTGATAAAAGAGAAAAAGGTAGCTTATGAGAGGTTTTTACAAAGCAGAAGTGGTTATAAGAAGAGCAGAGTATATGGAGAGTAAAAGAAAGGTAAAGAGAGTGGTGAGAGAGTGCAAAAGGAGAGCAGATGATAGAGTGGGAGAGGCACTGTCAAGAAATTTTAATGAAAATAAGAAAAAATTTTGGAGTGAGTTAAACAAGTTAAGAAAGCCTAGGGAAAATATGGATTTGTCAGTTAAAAACAGAGTAGGGGAGTTAGTAGATGGGGAGATGGAGGTATTGGGTAGATGGCGAGAATATTTTGAGGAACTTTTAAATGTTAAGGAAGAAACAGAGGCAGTAATTTCATGCACTGGTCAGGGAGGTATACCATCTTTTAGGAGTGAAGAAGAGCAGAATGTAAGTGTGGGGGAGGTACGTGAGGCATTACGTAAAATGAAAGGGGGTAAAGCAGCTGGAACTGATGGGATCATGACAGAAATGTTAAAAGCAGGGGGGGATATAGTGTTGGAGTGGTTGGTACTTTTGTTTAATAAATGTATGAAAGAGGGGAAGGTACCTAGGGATTGGCAGAGAGCATGTATAGTCCCTTTATATAAAGGGAAAGGGGACAAAAGAGACTGTAAAAATTATAGAGGAATAAGCTTACTGAGTATACCAGGAAAAGTGTACGGTAGGGTTATAATTGAAAGAATTAGAGGTAAGACAGAATGTAGGATTGCGGATGAGCAAGGAGGTTTTAGAGTGGGTAGGGGATGTGTAGATCAGGTGTTTACATTGAAGCATATATGTGAACAGTATTTAGATAAAGATAGGGAAGTTTTTATTGCATTTATGGATTTAGAAAAGGCATATGATAGAGTGGATAGAGGAGCAATGTGGCAGATGTTGCAAGTATATGGAATAGGTGGTAAGTTATTAAATGCTGTAAAGAGTTTTTATGAGGATAGTGAGGCTCAGGTTAGGGTGTGTAGAAGAGAGGGAGACTACTTCCCAGTAAAAGTAGGTCTTAGACAGGGATGTGTAATGTCACCATGGTTGTTTAATATATTTATAGATGGGGTTGTAAAGGAAGTAAATGCTAGGGTGTTTGGGAGAGGGGTGGGATTAAATTATGGGGAATCAAATTCAAAATGGGAATTGACACAGTTACTTTTTGCTGATGATACTGTGCTTATGGGAGATTCTAAAGAAAAATTGCAAAGGTTAGTGGATGAGTTTGGGAATGTGTGTAAAGGTAGAAAGTTGAAAGTGAACATAGAAAAGAGTAAGGTGATGAGGGTGTCAAATGATTTAGATAAAGAAAAATTGGATATCAAATTGGGGAGGAGGAGTATGGAAGAAGTGAATGTTTTCAGATACTTGGGAGTTGACGTGTCGGCGGATGGATTTATGAAGGATGAGGTTAATCATAGAATTGATGAGGAAAAAAAGGTGAGTGGTGCGTTGAGGTATATGTGGAGTCAAAAAACGTTATCTATGGAGGCAAAGAAGGGAATGTATGAAAGTATAGTAGTACCAACACTCTTATATGGGTGTGAAGCTTGGGTGGTAAATGCAGCAGCGAGGAGACGGTTGGAGGCAGCGGAGATGTCCTGTTTAAGGGCAATGTGTGGTGTAAATATTATGCAGAAAATTCGGAGTGTGGAAATTAGGAGAAGGTGTGGAGTTAATAAAAGTATTAGTCAGAGGGCAGAAGAGGGGTTGTTGAGGTGGTTTGGTCATTTAGAGAGAATGGATCACAGTAGAATGACATGGAAAGCATATAAATCTATAGGGGAAGGAAGGCGGGGTAGGGGTCGTCCTCGAAAGGGTTGGAGAGAGGGGGTAAAGGAGGTTTTGTGGGTAAGGGGCTTGGACTTCCAGCAAGCGTGCGTGAGCGTGTTAGATAGGAGTGAATGGAGACGAATGGTACTTGGGACCTGACGATCTGTTGGAGTGTGAGCAGGGTAATATTTAGTGAAGGGATTCAGGGAAACCGGTTATTTTCATATAGTCGGACTTGAGTCCTGGAAATGGGAAGTACAATGCCTGCACTTTAAAGGAGGGGTTTGGGATATTGGCAGTTTGGAGGGATATGTTGTGTATCTTTATATGTGTATGCTTCTAGACTGTTGTATTCTGAGCACCTCTGCAAAAACAGTGATAATGTGCGAGTGTGGTGAAAGTGTTGAATGATGATGAAAGTATTTTCTTTTTGGGGATTTTCTTTCTTTTTTGGGTCACCCTGCCTCGGTGGGAGACGGCCGACTTGTTGAAAAAAAAAAAAAAAAAAAAAAAAAAATATATATATATATATAATATATATATATATATATATATATATATATATATATATATATATATATCCAAAGGAATTTAATTTAATTTAGATTCAAAAAACAAGTTTGATTATAAATGCTTCTAATGTTTTGTGTGGTGAGCTCTCCTGTGGAAAGCAGCAGCCTACACTCCTCACCTGCAACTGCCGTCCTGCACAAATGTGGCACACAAAGAAAGTAGCCTTTTCTAAACTTCTTTTAAATATCTAAGAAAGAAAATACTGAATTGAAAGGTTTTCCACCATGAAGAGGGATAAAGGAATATATTTCATTTATGTAATGAAATTTCTTAATTGAGAATATATTTTTTTCTTCAATTCACTGGCCATATCCCACCAAGGCAGTGTGACCCAAAAAAGAAAAATACTTTCATGATCATTCATACATAGTCACTGTCTTTGCAGAGGTACACAGATATGACAGTTTAGATGTCACTCCAAACACAATATCCCAAACCACCTCCTTTAAAGTGCAGGCATTGTACTTCCCCCTCCAACTCAAGTCTGGGTAACTGGTTTCCGTGAATCCCTTCACAAAATACTGCCCTACTTGTATCCCAACAGCTTGTCATACAGACAGCTTGTCTCCATTCACTCCTATCTAACACACTCACACATGCCTGCTGTATGTCCAAGCCCCTTGCACAAAACCTCTTTCACCCCCTCCCTCCATCCTTTTCTAGGATGACCCCCTACCCCTCCCCCCTCCACTACAGATTCATACACCCTGTAAATTATACATTTAGATACTCCACACCTCCTCCTAATTTCCACACTATGAATACTCTGCTTAACATTTACACCACACAATGACTTTAGACACATCTCCACTGCCTACAGCCTCCTTGCTGCAGCACTTAGAACTTGTGCTTCACACCCATATAAGAGTGTTGGTACCACTATACTCTCATACATTCTCTTCTTTACCTCCACAGATAATGTTCTTTGTCTCCACAGATACCTCAATGCACCACCCACCCTTTTTCTTTCATCAATTCTATGATTTACCTTGTCCTTCATAAACCCATCCACTGACAAGTCTACTCCCAAATATCTGAATACATTCACTTCTTCCATACTCCCTCCCTCCAATGTGATATCCCATTTTTCTTTACCTAACTTGTTTGATACCCTCATCACCTTACTCTTATTTATGTTCATTTTCAACTTTCTTCCTTTACACACCCTCCCAAACTCATCCACCAACCTTTGCAATTTCTTTTTAGAATTTCCAAAAAGCACAGTATCATCAGCAAGAAGTAAATATGTCAACTCCTATTTTGTATTTGATTCCACATAATTTAATCCCACCCCTCTCCCCAACACCCTAGCAATTACTTCTTTTACAACCCCATCTACAAATATGTTAAACAACCACAGTGACATTACACATCCCTATCTAAAGCCTACTAAGCCTTACTAAGAAGTAATCTCCATGGGGAAATAGAACAGATTTCTTCCACCATAAGCCATGCTTATCATAAGAGGCAACTAAAATGCTGGGAGCAAGGGGCTAGTAACCCCTTCTCTTGCATAAATTACTAAATTTAAAAAGAAAAACTTGTTTTTCTTTTTAGGTCCCTGCCTTGGTGGGATACAGCTGATTTGTTAAAAAATATATATATATATATATTGTACAGTATATATAATTGTGTATCCTTAAGCCTTCTTTCATGGACAGTTGTGCCATGTCTTTTTTTGTTCAACTACAGTACATCAATTAAACAAATAAATTGTATTTCACACCTAGTTTTCGATTTCTACATTGCTTAGTACAAAATTGATGCAATGAAATATCTGAATAGGGTGTATACCAAGATGTTCAGACATGGCTCAGTATGGAAAGGATATACTGAATTGCCCAGAAACAGCTCAGTAGAGAGAGGAATGCATTAAAATGTTCTTCACTTGACAGAAGTAATCATTATTCTCATAGCTCCCATTATCATTTGATTTGTTTTTTAATGTTTTAATACAAGTTTTGTTTTATTTATCAGCACAGCATCCTCATCTGAAAGATAGCATTAATATTGTGACAAAACAAATCTCAATAAATTTAGATGACTAGGCAAAGTATGTTTACCGTTTCTTATGAAGTTATGAGTTCACACTCGTAAAATAATTTTTCTTTAATAAAGCGACTTCAGCAGCCTTTCCCATGATGGGGCTGTTTCAACTGGATTGTTTGTAAGCCCAAATTTCAACTGGTCTTCTTGTCTATGCTGAATAAGCTTATTGCAACTGCCAAGTGCCTGAAACATATCTACAGCATAAAGCTGTGTACATGTATGCATGAATATGTATGAACATGTATGAATAATTATGCAAATATGTGTGTATAGGTATGTATGTATGTACATATGTATGTATGTATGTACATATGTATGTATGTACATATGTATGTATGTACATATGTATGTATATACATATGCATGTAAATTAGAATATACTAGTATAGAACATTATTTTGTACATTACTGTACAATATAAAAAAATACATTTATGTATACCGTACACGTGTCTTCACATTAGGTACTGCCTCTAAATTTGGCGCTGCTAGAGAAAGTGAAAGTTTCAATAGGAAGCCTTGTGTAGAGTGCAACACAGCATCAATAATGTTACGACTACAAGGATTTCTCTCTACAAAGGACAAAGTAAAGTTAGATGTAGAGTCGAACAATGCCTAAGGAATAAATAATACTGAAAAATACATAAATAAATCTTCAACATTTCAGGGTTTTATGCAAGTTGTTCTTGCAAGACCTTGCACTTGTTGTTCTTACCAGCCCTTGTGCTTGTTGTTCTTACAAGACCTTGCATTTGTTCTTACAAGACCTTGCACTTGATGTTCTTACAAGCCCTTGCACTTATTCTTACAAGACCTTACACTTGTTGTTCTTACAAGACCTTGTGCATGTTGTTCTTACAAGACCTTGCATTTGTTCTTACAAGACTGCACTAGTTGTTCTTACAAGCCCTTGCACTTATTCTTACAAGACCTTACACTTGTTGTTCTTACAAGACCTTGTGCATGTTGTTCTTACAAGACCTTGCATTTGTTCTTACAAGACTGCACTTGTTGTTCTTAAAGACCTTGCATTGTGTTCTTACAAGTCCTTGCACTTGTTCTTACAAGACCTTGCACTTGTTGTTCTTACAAGCCCTTGCACTTGTTGTTCCTACAAGCCCTTGTGCTTGTTCTTACAAGCCCTTGTGCTTGTTGTTCTTACAATCCCTTGCGCTCGTTGTTCTTACAAGCCCCTGCACTTGTTGTTCTTACAAGTCCTTGCACTTGTTCTTACAAGCCCTTGTGCTTGTTCTTACAAGCTCTTGCGCTTGTTCTTACAAGCCCTTGTGCTTGTTCTTACATGCCCTTGCACTTGTTCTTATAAGACCTTGCGCTTATCAGCGACTCTACAAGCTATTTAAACTGTCAACATCTCATTGTCTTCCGTAAAATATAAAATATATTTTTTATAGACAAAATTACTATAGACAGGAACACTTAAAAATTTATTACAAAAAATTGATAAAACATTTATCTAAGTCATTTTTTATTAAACATGATTTAAAGTCCTAGAAAGTTGGCTAACAGAAATGCACAGCACAATATGACAGCTGCAAGGATGGCCACCACCCACACTGGTACCATTCCTGAAAAAAAATTGCAATGAGCACCTTGCAAGACACACAAAAATATTTAAAAATGCTATGAAATCTAAATGTTACATACAATGCTGTATACATAAAAGGTAACCAAAGGAAACAGAAGACGTATGCATTCTTCCCTTTGCAATTATAAATGCCATCTCAAAATTTATGACCAACCATAAAAATGTTTCTAGAGAAATGTTATACCTTAAATACTGCTGAAAATTTTTGAATTGAACTTTCTTACCTTGCCTGGGAATGTGGTGAATTTTGAGGGAGTTGTCACAGGATATGGAGAGAACAGAGGCATCAGAGAATCCTCGCACCATCTGTGATTCTTTGTTTTCTGTTGGTAACCATTCCAATCCCGTAATGAACATGCTATGAGCATCTTCTACTGTACGTAGTTGCTGGAAACATTCTTTATGTAAGCAAGAGTTTGGCATACACCAATGTTTTCAATTGCATCGTTTCAATATGATATGTACATACACAGAAGGGTCCTGCTTTTATGGCAGGTTAGGGTCCAGTCTACCACCGTAAAGCGAATTACCCTTTTTAACTTTAAAATGCATATAAATGACTGATAACATCTTTACACTCTCATGTTAGCAATAGAAATAGGCATAAAAACAATAAAAAGTAAAATGCTTTTACAGTACACTCATTACTTTAAAATATTTGTAGTCTTAATACAGGGTGAGAGGAGAGCAGCATTTATTGTAGGAAGTCAGGATGTATGGTTAAGTGTGGTAGCCCACATGGCTACCACACCTCACAATTATGTTAATTTGTTTTACTATGATTGTATACATTTTGTTTATATATGAAGTATCACCCTGCCTCGGTGGGAGACGGCCGACTTGTTAAAAAAAAAAAAAATGAAGTGTGGCAGATGTTGCAAGTATATGGAATAGGTGGTAAGTTACTAAATGCTGCAAAGAGTTTTTATGAGGATAGTGAGGCTCAGGTTAGGGTGTGTAGAAGAGAGGGAGACTACTTCCCAGTAAAAGTAGGTCTTAGACAGGGATGTGTAATGTCACCATGGTTGTTTAATATATTTATAGATGGGGTTGTAAAAGAAGTAAATGCTAGGGTGTTCAGGAGAGGGGTGGGATTAAATTATGGGGAATCAAATACAAAATGGGATTTGACACAGTTGCTTTTTGCTGATGATACTGTGCTTATGGGAGATTCTAAAGAAAAATTGCAAAGGTTAGTGGACGAGTTTGGGAGTGTGTGTAAAGGTAGAAAGTTGAAAGTGAACATAGAAAAGAGTAAGGTGATGAGGGTATCAAATGATTTAGATAAAGAAAAATTGGATATCAAATTGGGGAGGAGGAGTATGGAAGAAGTGAATGTTTTCAGATACTTGGGAGTTGATGTGTTGGCGGATGGATTTATGAAGGATGAGGTTAATCATAGAATTGATGAGGGAAAAAAGGTGAGTGGTGCGTTGAGGTATATGTGGAGACAAAAAAACGTTATCTATGGAGGCAAAGAAGGGAATGTATGAAAGTATAGTAGTACCAACACTCTTATATGGGTGTGAAGCTTGGGTTGTGACTGCAGCAGCGAGGAGGTGGTTGGAGGCAGTGGAGATGTCCTGTCTAAAGCTAATGTGTGGTGTAAATATTATGCAGAAAATTTGGAGTGTGGAAATTAGGAGAAGGTGTGGAGTTAATAAAAATATTAGTCAGAGGGCTGAAGAGGGGTTGTTGATGTGGTTTGGTCATTAAGAGAGAATGGATCAAAGTAGAATGACATGGAGAGCGTATAAATCTGTAGGGGAAGGAAGGCAGGGTAAGGGTCGTCCTCGAAAAGGTTGGATGGAAGGGGTAAGGGAGGTTTTGTGGGCGAGGGACTTGGACTTCCAGCAGGCGTGCATGAGCGTGTTCGATAGGAATGAATGGAGACGAATGATATTTGGGACCTGACGATCTGTTGGAGTGTGAGCAGAGTAATATTTAGTGAAGGGATTCAGGGAAACCGGTTATTTTTATATAGCCGGACTTGAGTCCTGGAAATGGGAAGTACAGTGCCTGCACTCTAAAGGAGGGGTTTGGGATATTGGCAGTTTGGAGGGATATACTGTGTATTTTTTACGTATATACTTCTAAACTGTTGTATTCTGAGCACCTCTGCAAAAACAGTGATTATGTGTGAGTGAGGTGAAAGTGTTGAATGATGAAAGTATTTTCTTTTTGGGGATTTTCTTTCTTTTTGGGTCACCCTGCCTCGGTGGGAGACGGTTGACTTGTTAAAAAAAAAATGAAGTGTATTTCTTATATAATTTTGGAAAGTGTCATAGATAGATTAATGAAAATGTCTATAATAATGTAATATACAACATTTAAAGCACCCCAGAGTGATTGTTATTATTATAATGCTTAGTGATTTCAATGTACCTGTATGCCAGCACAGTAAGTTTATTTAGGTACAATTTTTTTTTTTAACATGTCAGCTGTCTCCCACTAAGGCAGGGTGACCCAAAAAAAGAGAAAAACACTTTCACCATCATTCACACGTAATCATTGTCTGTGCAGATGCGCTCAGATACGACAGCTGAGATGTCACTCCAAATAGCCAATTCCCAAACCCCTCCTTTAAAGTGCAGGCAATGTACTTCCCACCTCCAGGACTCTAGCTAACCAGTTTTTCTGAATCTGTTCACACTCCAGTAGCTCATCAAGTCCCAAAAAAGCCATTCATCTCCACTCATTCCAATCTAACATACTCACACATGCCTGTTGTATGTCCAAGCCCCTTGTATACAAAACCTCTTTTACCCCCTCCCTCCATCCCTCCTAGGATGACCCCTGCCCCTCCTTCCCTTCACTACAGATAAACATATATATAATTATAATTATTATTTTTAATACAATACAGTCTAAACACACATGAATAGAAAAATTTCATACCTGCAAACTGAAAGCAATCAGGATGTAAACTGTCCCGCTCATTGTCCCAGTTGCAAGGAACCGACCATCGTCACTCAGGGATAAGCTGCTTAAGGAGCCAATTAAGTTCTGGGTTTTTTCTTGGGTGTAAGTTCTACCACACCATTTGGCAACAATTGCAGGATGTTTCGTTCCAACAACTGGATTACTGATTGTGAAGAGCCGAGTCTTGTTTGGGTTGCACTCAACATTTCCATACCTACAGTTAACAAAAACTTCTGGTTAGAATGGTAAATGTATAACAGTACAAATTTACTAATTAACTTGGCATAATTAGGTATAATAAACCTCAACTGGATACCTTGACTTCAATTCAGAAGAAGGTATTTCTAGACCATGTTACATCTGTTCATTCATCTTTGGCTTCTCCTAAACCTAAGCCATATCAAATAATGGAGAACTGCTTGTTTTCATTACAGCAATGGAAGTTGTAAATTTGTTCTGTGGTGTGAATTGTATTACATTATTATTATTATTAATAAATTTTTTACACACCAGCCGTCTCCCACCAAGTTAGGGTAACCCGAAAACGATGACACTTTCATCATCATTCACTATGTCACTGTCTTGCCAAAGGTGCACCAATACTACAGTCCAGATGTCCCTCCAAACTGCAAATATCCTCATAGCTTCAGAGTGCAGACATTGTACTTCCCACCTCCATGACTCAAATGATTCAAGAACAACGACAAAGTCCACTGGTTACAAACCTTGTCCATTATTGTTAAGATCATGATAAAATAATCTCATCTATATCCACCACAATTGCCATTACTTGCCACCCACTCCTCCTTATTAGATGTTTAACTTTAGGGATTACATACACTATATAGTAAAATTTTAGTTAATACAGTAGGACCCCATATCTGCGGGTTTGGTTTCTGAGGTTTCAGTTATCTGTGGTTTACTGTGGCCCAAAATAACCCTTAATTTTGCTTAATAATGGCCTCAAAGCACAAAAGTAGCGATGATGGCCATTCTTGAAAGCCTAAGAGAAGTCAAGAAATACTTCCCATCAGTGAAAAAGTGCTAATTCTCTACTTATTGTGCATAATTTATCAAATTAAACTTCATCATAGATATGTATGTAAACGAAAAAAGACATATATAGGGTTCACTACTATCTGGTATCAATGGTAGGTCAGGGAATGTATCCCCCACAGATACGAGGGGTCCTACTGTACTCTTGAGTTACTGGTACATACTGATGTTCCTAAACACTGCATACTTGGTGTTATCAAATACACTTACCATCCGACTTACAACCTGCTTGACATACGACCACTCAACTTACGACCGTGTTTTTGATGCCAAATTTCTGGGAAATAAACAACTGTTTGTGTTGTACACAGTGTTTATCCTAAACCTTACAGTATAAAATACAGACTAACAGCATAAAAAGTAAAGTAAAAAATGAAATACCAAAATAAAACAAAATAAAGTCATTACATAAATGTGATGTTGATATTCAGTAGTAAGGTTCAACTTACGTCCATTACGACTTACGACCAGCTGTATTCTTAATAAATGAGAGTTTGAAGAGCAATGGCATATAGCCAACAAGTTGGTTGAAACAGAGAGACATGCAGATGAGAACTTGTATTGAGACGATGTACATACTGCCAGTGTAACGGGCTTCTTCTAGCTACTCACATCTACTTGAGAAAGTCTGTCATGCTGGCAAAATGTTAGCTCAATGCAAATATTTTATAGACTAAAAATATATACACCATATAAATTAAAGAAATTAATTTCACAGTGCAGTACTTGCATTATACCTATTATTTTTATCACCTTACTACACAAAAATCTTACTAAATAAAAACAATGTACCTGTACATATTTTCTTTCTTCAAGACAGTTAACACAATCACATAATTATTTCTTACCTGGCACGAAAACATTTATATTTCACTCCATTCGTTTGTAGTGCCACATGAGTAAATTTCTTGCCATCCTTCACATTCCAAACACAACACTCTCGGGTTGGCTTGCACACAGATACTACCTGCAAACAAAATGCAATCATTCACAACTGTTATTATTGTACACACCAGCCACCTACCATCAAGGTGGGGTGACCCAAAAGAAGAGATGCAGTTGCCATCATTCATTACATTGCAGTTTTGCCAGACATCATTGTAATTTAAATGACCAATTGATCTGCAATATCCCCACCCCCTTCTTCAGAGTGCAAGCACTATAATTACAACCTCCAGAACTCAAGTCTGGCTCACCCGTTTTCCCTGTCTCTCTTCATAAGTGTAACATTCCATACTTTGCTCACATTCCAACAGCATATCAAGTCATGAAAACCACTTGTCCTCACTACAATCTAATGCATTCACACACAAAAAAATTTTAAGTTAGGGAGAAGCAACAATAGACTGATAAAACTGAGCAATTGATGTGTTAAATATAAACAATGAACAATGTCAAGCAGACAATGATTACTGTATCTTTTAAAGAAGCAAATACAGATATAGCTGAATAAAATTACAATTAAGAAAATAACAATCACCAACAATTCTACAGGAAAAATCACTACTATGGGTTCTCTCTTTATTATTACTGATAATAAAAGCATAGGTAACAATAAAAAATTGTTAGGTTAGGTTAGAAATGTCATAAATATTTTTTTTTTTTCGACAAACCAGCCGTATCCCACCAAGGCAGGGTGGCTCAAAAAGAAAAACGAAAGTTTCTCTTTTTAAATTTAGTAATACATACAGGAGAAGGGGTTACTAGCCTCAGTCTCCAGGCATTTTAGTCACCTCTTACGACATCCATGACTTACAGAAGAAGAATTCTGTTCCACTTCCCCATGGTGAAGAAGGGAGATAATGTATGTACATAAATAATATAATGGCAATATGATGTCACAGAGAAAGATGTATGCAGTCAACTCTTACTGATGTTGAAAAAATATTTAACATGGTAAAATTCACGAAAATATATAATGGGATAAGAACTGTGCATAAGTGGAAGATGGAAACCATACCATGGGCGGGATTGAACCCGTGGTCAGAGAGTCTCAAAACTCCAGACCGTTGCGTTAGCCACTGGACCAGCTAGCCACAATAAGACTCGTCCAACTAGGTATATTTCTACACCACGAAATCATAATGACACGATTGCAAACAAACCATACCACAGGCGGGATTGAACCCGCGGTCAGAGAGTCTCAAAACTCCAGACCATCGCATTAGCCACTGGACCAGCTAGCCACAATAAGATTCGTCCAACTAGGTATATTTCTACACCATAGGAAGGTTAGCATAGGTACCACTGTAACCACAAATGGAAGTTTGTGGTCACCATAGGAAGGTTAGCATAGGCACCAATGTGACCACAAATGCAAATTTGTGGTCACAGTGGTGCCTATGCTAACCTTCCTATGGTGTAGAAATATACCTAGTTGGATGAATCTTATTGTGGCTAGCTGGTCCAGTGGCTAACACACGGTCTGGAGTTCTGAGACTCTCTGACCGCGGGTTCAATCCCGCCCGTGGTATGGTATGTTTGCAATCGTGTCATTACGATTTCGTGAGTCATGTTGAGGGCATTGAGGGGACTTGAGCTAGAGTTCGTCATGGCCACGCTAGCTGGAGATTCGTCTGTAAAAACTTGCATTTGTGGTCACAGTAGTGCCTATGCTAACCATCCTATGGTGTAGAAATATACCTAGTTGGACGAATCTTATTGTGGCAAGCTGGTCCAGTGACTAATGCGACGATCTGGAGTTTTGAGACTCTCTGACTGCCTGTTGACCCATACTAGGCAGGTCCTTCACAATCTATCCCACTAATAGAATATTTGCCCAACCCATTTTCAACGCTACCCAAGCAATAAGCTTTAATAAATCTATTTCCCATGAATACTAGTGTATTCATGGGAAATGCTAGATCAATAAGGGTTATACAGCATCTGGGGAAAGGAAGGTTATCAGGTTTGATCTAAGAAAGGGGAAGGTAGCTATAATTCCTTGGATCAAGACCCCTTTATCTGCATCCCTCTTGCTCTCAAGGCACCTTGAAGGGAAGAGGGATAGATGAGAGAAAAAAGGGGTAGTACAAAATTGATTACTAATTTGGTTGTTTGTATATGCTAGAATGATACAGTGCAGTAGCAATGTAGTTTCATACTAATAATGGGCAACAGACAGGTGATAAACAGACATTTAATGAAGCAAAGTCTTCACTGGTACAACATTTCATCCATGAATGGGCTTTATCCATACATATACTTCATAAAGTCCATATACTGGTGAAATGTTGAACCATTAAGACTTCATTGCAGTAATTTCTATTTTCCATTAGTTGTATTCGACTTACCCTGATATTTTTAATCAAACAATAAAACAGCCCGATATACAAAAAAAAAAAAATGTTCAACTGTAACATTATTAAAAATGAACAGTACCTCCTTGCCATCAGGCTTGATATTTAAATCATCAACTTCCTTTTCATGTGCTTGTATTTCTTTAATTTTTTTCATGTCTGGCAAACTCCAAAACCTGAGGTAGCCATCAGTACCCCCAGTCACTAGAAACTTGTAGTCTGAAGATATACCACAGCACTTTTGATATGTTTCAGCCTCGGACTTCTTCCTGTAGTAATATGTATAAAACAGATTTTTTAACAGACGATTCATTTCCCAAGAGGGTTGTTTGAAAAAAAAAAAATACGTACATTCATCCTCTCTTTCTCCTTAGCTATCTTTCCAGAAAGGATCATCACAATGCAATGATAACCCCACGAATCCCAGCATCCCTCCCTAAATGAAGGCACTGTACTAATCATCCCCAAACCTCTAAGTCCAGTTAAGTGCTTTCCATAAATCCCTTCGCAGAGCTGATGTGCTCACACTGCAACACAGAACTGGATGTTCAAGCCACTACCTTTCAATACCTTCAAATTTTCCCATCATTCCTCAAACATCCCATACACCTCTTTCCATCTACTCAAGATTTACACAAACTCATATTCAACCTTTCTTGCTCCATTCTTTCTACATAACTAAACACTCTCAACAACTACTTTCATGCTCTTTGTATTCCAGTATACTGTACCACAATGCCATCAAATAATTTTATTATGTGCTTATTTGCATAACATATACACAACAAATGATATTTCCACTGCCTCCAGCCTTTTAATTGAAGCAACATGTATATAGAAAAAAATTTATTTGCAAAGTTTTCATTATTATAGAATACACTGGAGCGTAATAGGATTATTATTATTATAATCATGGGGGAGCGCTAAACCCATAGGATTATAAAGTGCATGTGGAGGGGGATGGAAGGCATTTAGGCTCAATTCAGGGAACTGGAGCACAGATCCAATTCCGTAGATCAAGAGCCCTTCACCAGCTTCAAAGAATCTCCCTTGAGGGGAGAGTGTAATGTGAAAAATCACAGTAAGAGATTTTGTAAAGGCTATAACATAGTATGCATATCATTATTATTTTTATTATTGGTATTATTATTATGATTACTGGTATTATTATTATTATTATTATTATTATTATTACTGTTATTATTATTACCAGTAAATTCATGAGCAATTGCTAAATTATACAGTATACAAACCAATAATGTAAAACATAAATTGTATGTCATGAAATTTAAGCTTGTTTAGCATTGTAGCTGTAAATACAGTAATAACAAATTATTAAACATACATACTTTAAAACTGTTTCTTTAGAGCCGACAACCTCCACATCAAAAGAAAAGTATTTATTTCCCCGCAGTGTTGTATTTAAAGACTTCTTTCTAAGTTTTTCTTCTCTTATCTCTTCTTTTTCTGTTGAACCTTCTTCTGCACTCCGTTCACTTGTTCTTCTTCGTCTTAAGCCACTGTGAGCTGATAAAATTCACATATTTTAGATTTTTTAACAACTGCATGAAATTTGTAAGCATGATAAAAACAAAAGAAAATTATTAAAATATACAAAAAAATATTGTATTGCAATAACATTCATGGTAAAGCACTAAATCCACAGAGGTCATGCACTACCTATGGGAAAGGGAGGTACTAAGGCTCAGTCCAAGGAAGGAGACATCAGGTCCAATTCCTTAGATCAAGAGCCTCACACCAGAATCAAGGAACTTTCCTTGAGTGGATACCAGTTACAAGTATTTTAACTAAAATGCAACAACACTATCTTGTATAAACAACATGATATTCTGACTCGCCTTCCACATTATACAGTCTTTATATATATTTCATTCAAAAAGCCCACAAACCTTTTTCCTTTGCTTTGAGTACTTGAGATAGAATTTCATCTTTCTTGACAGTCTGTAAGGTCGGCTTCAGTTTCACAACAGCACACTTCTCTTCTAGCCCCATAGCAAGAGAGATGGTCGGTGCTGTCACTCTGCTAGACACTGCAGTGATCGCCCCAGGCCACCCAACCATATTAGTGATGCAGTAGTCACCAACATCATATGAGAGGACACGTTCTCCCACAGTCTGAGTCCCATTGTGGTAAAGCTCGTAGACATCCTAAGGCAAAATAAAGTCAATGTGTGTGTGTGTGTGAAATTTGCTTTATATGGTAGAGATTGGATATCATTTGAGGAACATCATAAAATTATATAAATCAGTGCAGCAGGGAAAGTCAATGTAGCAAGGAAATTGTCAATTTAGCAGGAAAAGTCAGTGCAGCAGGGAAAGTCAATGTAGCAAGGAAATTGTCAATTTAGCAGGAAAAGTCAGTGCAGCAGGGAAAGCAGCAGTGAAGAAGGGACAGCAGCTGTGTAGCAAGGAAGGCAATAGTATAGCAGGGAAAGCAGCCATGCAACAGGGAAACTGTCAGTGAAACATGAGGAAAAAGAAGTGCAGCAGAAAAAGCAGCCATGCTACAGAGAAAGTCAATGCAGCAGGAAAAGCATTTACGCAGAAGGAAAAGCACGTAATGGAAAGTGAGTTGGTTCCACAAGGAAAACATTAATGCACTATAGATAGGATCAGTGCAGCAGAGAATGCGTCAGTACATCACACAAAACATTAGAGCAGCATAGAAAGCATGTGTTCTTTAGAAAGCATTTGTGAACTTTTATGCACGTGCAGCTGGAAAGCACCAGTGCAGCCCGAAAAACATCAGTGCGCACGGAAAAACATCAGTGCAGCATGGGAAAACTCAGTGCAGCACAGAAAGCTTTAGTGCAGCCGGGGAAAAGCATCAGTGCGCACGGAAAGCTCAGGAGCACGAAAGATCGTGCGCACAGAAAACATCAGGCGCATGGAAAGCATCAGTGCGCATGGAAAAAACTCATGGGGAGATGGAAAACATAGTGCGCGCAACTTAAAATTTTTTATTTTTGATTTCCCGTCTTGGCCGTCCTCCCCCCCCACCAACCACAATGTGGGCCACACAAGCAGTAACAGCATAAGCCGGGAACTAACACTGGCCCCAGTCTCACAACCCTTCTGGAGACATCCTCACTCAGCCCGTTAATAATAAAAAATAAAAAATAATTGCCTGTTAACAGCCGGACAGTCTTTATTTAGCGCCAGTGGAGCCCCTTTTTTTTATAGTGGCAGTGTGAAGCCTCGCCTCACTAGTTTTTACTTCTCGGCATTTCTTAGAGATTTCTCGCTAGTTTTCCCAACCCCTATCACTTTTCCTCTGCCGCTTTTTGAAACAAACACGTCAATCACTCAATATCCGGTCGTAATAAAACGTTTAACTCACGATTTTTATTTCTTTTCGCCTTTACAACAATTTTTTTCAGTAAAAATCACTTATATGAATACCCCTGTTATTGGAATTTTTATGTAATTGATTATGTTTCTTAACTACTTTATATTTTGCTCGTATTTGTTATTTCATAGTACGGATTTAAAAAGAGTGTTAAGGAGAGCGAGGCTAAGATATTTATTATTTATCTTTTTTTTTTTTTTAACTGAGATCCTTTCAAACTATGATCATTATCGTAATAACTGTAACAATAACTTTATTTTTGTCTGTTTTGTGAAAGTGGTAAGAAACGTAAACTAATTTAATAAAACCCAACGTAACCCAACTTAATTTAACCTTCCCATTCATATTTCGCTCGCGCGGTAGATAATAAAATAAAATAATAATAATAAAAATAAAATAATAATAATAAAAAAAATAATAATAAAAAGAAAAAGAAGACGAGAAGAAGAAGAAGAAGAAGAAGAGAAGAAAGAAGAAGAAAAGAAAGAAGAAGAAGAAGAAGAAGGAAAAGAAGAGAAGAAAAGAAGAAGAAGAAAAGAAGGAAGAAGAAGAAAAGAAGAAGAAGAAAGAAGAAGAGAAGAAGAAGAAAAAGAAAGAAGAAAAAGAAAGAGAAGAAAAAAGAGAAGAAAAAGAAAAAAAGAAAAAGAAGAAAAGGAAGAAGAAGAAGAAGAAGAAGAAGAAGAAGAAGAAGAAGAAGAAGAAGAAGAAGAAGAAGAAGAAGAAGAAGAAGAAGAAGAAGAAGAAGAAGAAGAAGAAGAAGAAGAAGAAGAAGAAGAAGAAGAAGAAGAAGAAATATTTATTTTTACAAGTTCACGTACAAGGTATACAGTTCCAGCTGACATCAACGCTATACTACTACTACCTAGAAAGTCGCTTGTTATACAGAACATTTCGGGCAAATTAGGTCCATTTTGTCCCAGATTCAGATTCAAATGTTTATCTCTCTGTAAAGATTGCGATGTGTGGTTTACATGTTGTAAATTAATAATTACAAAGAAGGCCACTAGCATGCCTAGGCATGTCGGGCAGACTAATAATAATTCTTACTCTATATTACAAATTAGACAGATTTACAATAGTGAGGTAGTAATAATGTTGGTAGAATTACCGACAATATGTAAAGTAAAAGGACACAAGTGCAACTAATGTGACATTTTATTGTGGCAACGTTTCGCTCTCCAGGAGCCTTTGTCAAGACGTTACCTAAGCCGTAACGGCTTGACAAAGCTCCTGGAGTTTGATGAACATCAAAATGGTATACAATACCGACAGGTTGTTAGGTAAGACACATATGCAACAGTTAGACATCTTTATTCCGAAACGTTTCGCCTACACAGTAGGCTTCTTCAGTCGAATACAGAAAGTAGGCAGGAGCAGTAGAGATGTGAAGACGATGTAATCAGTCCATCACCCTTAAAGTCGTAGAATTTGAGGTTGTCAGTCCCTCGGCCTGGAGAAGTTCAGTTCCATAGTCAGGAACTATCTGAAGATCAAGCGACATTATTATTATTATTATAATCAAGGGGGAAGCGCTAAACCCGTAGGATTATACAGCGCCCAGGGGGGGATGTGGAAGGCATTCAGGCTTAATTCGGGGAACTGGAGCACAGATTCAATTCCCTAAATCAAGAGCCCCTCACCAACATCAAGGAACCTTCCATGAGGGGAGATCAAGCGACAGTGCGGAGGCTTAAATACTGTCAGAAGGAGAGGTGCAGGGTAGTAGTAGTAGTAGTAGTAGTAGTGAGAGGCAACTGAGAGGTCATGTCCCTCTCAGATCCAACCCTTCTCACTTGAAAAGCTTGTCCAAGGTGTTTTCTGTACCAAGATGCCACGTGTTGCAGTGTCTGACAAGATGAACATCAAAATGGTATACAATACCGACAGGTTGTTAGGTAAGACACATATGCAACAGTTAGACATCTTTATTCCGAAACGTTTCGCCTACACAGTAGGCTTCTTCAGTCGAATACAGAAAGTAGGCAGGAGCAGTAGAGATGTGAAGACGATGTAATCAGTCCATCACCCTTAAAGTCGTAGAATTTGAGGTTGTCAGTCCCTCGGCCTGGAGAAGTTCAGTTCCATAGTCAGGAACTATCTGAAGATCAAGCGACAGTGCGGAGGCTTAAATACTGTCAGAAGGAGAGGTGCAGGGTAGTAGTAGTAGTAGTAGTAGTAGTGAGAGGCAACTGAGAGGTCATGTCCCTCTCAGATCCAACCCTTCTCACTTGAAAAGCTTGTCCAAGGTGTTTTCTGTACCAAGATGCCACGTGTTGCAGTGTCTGACAAGATGAACATCAAAATGGTATACAATACCGACAGGTTGTTAGGTAAGACACATATGCAACAGTTAGACATCTTTATTCCGAAACGTTTCGCCTACACAGTAGGCTTCTTCAGTCGAATACAGAAAGTAGGCAGGAGCAGTAGAGATGTGAAGACCCTGCACCTCTCCTTCTGACAGTATTTAAGCCTCCGCACTGTCGCTTGATCTTCAGATAGTTCCTGACTATGGAACTGAACTTCTCCAGGCCGAGGGACTGACAACCTCAAATTCTACGACTTTAAGGGTGATGGACTGATTACATCGTCTTCACATCTCTACTGCTCCTGCCTACTTTCTGTATTCGACTGAAGAAGCCTACTGTGTAGGCGAAACGTTTCGGAATAAAGATGTCTAACTGTTGCATATGTGTCTTACCTAACATCCTGGAGTTTACCTGGAGAGAGTTCCGGGGGTCAACGCCCCCGCGGCCCGGTCTGTGACCAGGCCTCCTGGTGGATCAGAGCCTGATCAACCAGGCTGTTACTGCTGGCTGCACGCAAACCAACGTACGAGCCACAGCCCGGCTGATCAGGAACCGACTTTAGGTGCTTGTCCAGTGCCAGCTTGAAGACTGCCAGGGGTCTGTTGGTAATCCCCCTTATGTATGCTGGGAGGCAGTTGAACAGTCTCGGACCCCTGACACTTATTGTATGGTCTCTTAACGTGCTAGTGACACCCCTGCTTTTCATTGGGGGGATGTTGCATCGTCTGCCAAGTCTTTTGCTTTCGTAGTGAGTGATTTTCGTGTGCAAGTTCGGTACTAGTCCCTCTAGGATTTTCCAGGTGTATATAATCATGTATCTCTCCCTCCTGCGTTCCAGGGAATACAGGTTTAGGAACCTCAAGCGCTCCCAGTAATTGAGGTGTTTTATCTCCGTTATGCGCGCCGTGCAGGGAGGTCTCTGTAATATCTTATTATTAGCAGCCTGGCTATTAAATACAGTAGAAACCGGTCATGATCATATCCATACAACTAGACTAAACTAAATAAATCAACTGCATAGAATTAGTTTCAATAAAATGAGATACAATAACTATGAAGGAACTATAGTAGTTTTTATGAACATTATATAGGAAAAATCAGCATAATATAATAGGTACATAAATGTTAATAATACAGAAATCACTCTCGTCCCTTTTCGTAAATTCATTCATTAGGAATTTTTAGCCCCCTCCCTGAACTGGTTCAAGCTAAGACTGACCTTGACATGTTCAGGCAAGACCTTCCACTCCTTATTTATATATAATAAAACGTGTTTGAGACCTGACCACTTACCGGAGATACCACAAAATTGTTCACTTCCTCTAGTACCGTAATGGTTGTGGCTCCTAACCTTAACAAAATTTGCAGCGAAATATTCTGGAGACTTAGTTTAATATGTTTATTATGTACGGCACGCCATACCCATCCTGTGGGCGGTAGTTAAAAGATTACAAAGATACATAATGGGTCCAGGGACTGGGCCCCA